ACAAAAGCCATTCTCAATTCGCTGCTTCCTACCTGGTACGGGGCAGTTCGGCCGCAAAGAAAACCAGCCGGATTTTACTGTTCACGTCTGGTTTTTACTGTTTACTTTCTCACAAATTTCTCTAGATTCATCCCAATTTCTCGCAGCGAACATGGCCTACGTTCCTGTCCGTGACAGAAAAAATCTCAAAATCTGAAAAGGAAATGAAATATACTCCACTATTTTCTCTCAGGTTATATTTGGTTTCCAGAAACTGAGAGAAATTGAAAAGTAATTTAATGATAAAATAAGAAGCATTTTCTAGATATTATAATTATAATTTTAATTCATGGAATAAAAAAGGCCTTGAACAATGTTTGAAACCGCGAAGAGAAAAAGGGAAATCGATGTCCGGGCTGCTTCCGGTCAAACATTCCGTCGCCGCCGTCCCTGTTGGAAAACCCCTCACTCCTCGGTCCAACCTATAAGAAGTCCAAGGACTAGCGCGGCATCCAGATCACCCCGTGCCGTCCGTCCGCTTTGGTCGTCAGTCGTCACACCCCACCCCCACAAAGCAGCTCGCCGCTAAGACAGCGAAGCAGCTCTGGCTTATTGCAAGCTAAGCTGCCCGGTTGACTGATTAATCGCGCGTTAATTGCCCGCTAATCCCCTGCCGGCCGCCACCGCTTCCGCACATTTCCTCGCTTAATTAATTGGCTAGTGAAGTTGATCCAGCTCGGCGGGCGGACTTGGAGAGAGAGAGAGAGAGAGAGAGAGAGGCAGAAGCAGAGGCAGCCCGGGATCCGATTGGGCGGTCGATGCTACGGCCGGTGGCGGGTGTCGTCGGGGCATGGCTGGGCAGGCTGCGCGGCGAGGAGGAGCAATGAGGCCACCGAGCAGCGGCATGCGGGCGGCGGCCGCGCGGTCGCCGGCCGCCTCGTTCCTGCTGGCCGCTGCGGCCGCGGCGTCGCTCGTCGGCGGGTTCTACTTCTGGTTGGTGGTCTCGTCGTTCCGGCTCCCCGACTCGGGCGCCGCCGGGTGCCGCCCCGACGGCGAGGGGTCGTGGGCGGTCGGGATGTTCTACGGCAGCAGCCCCCTCGCGCTCCGTCCCATCGAGCTGGTGAGTGGCCTGCGGCACTCAGCTTAAAAGCAGCTCCTCTCGTGCGAGCGTTGTGGGTAGGTTGACGCCTGAAGCGCTTCCGTTACTCTGTCTGAGGTGTAATTTTGGTGGGCAGGAAGGGAGAAGCAATGGCAACAACTCGGCGTGGCCGGTGGCGAACCCCGTGCTGACCTGCGCGACCGCCACGGAGGCGGGGTACCCGAGCAACTTCGTTGCCGACCCGTTCCTCTACGTCGAGGTGAGGCACTGCTGCTGCTTGTTTTGTTCTGCCGCTCTTCCCGAGGTGGAATTCTGCTTCTCGTGGATGTAGGGATGATTTGCAAATTAGCTAAGCTATGGGAGGTGGGAGCAAATCGTTGAGCAAAGTAAAATTCAGGGTCGCTGACTGAACTGGTGATTTGGCTGCATTCCAGAATTCAGCACCCACGCAGGGGTGCCTGTGAGGGTTTGATGTTTGGTTTTTGGATGCTTAGAGGAGACTAACTTACTCAGGCACATAATAAATTGGCTGATTGGCTGAATACCGTAATGTTGACAGTGTCTTACTAGCGTGTGAAAAAAAATGTGTAACTGTCTTGTCTCAGTCAAGGCATACAAAGTTAGGTCCAGCATGTAGTGGCTGCTACTCCATGATGCGCATACTAGTAGCATGTAAGCATGGTTTGTGATGAATTAATAGCCTATGATGAGATAGTACCTAGGGAGTTTTAGTTGAGGAAAGGATTCAGATCTAGTTGAGATAGACACCGAAATGTGCTTTGCTTAGGTACATTGCAAGTTTGAAACCATTAATCTAGAAGTTGATCTGTAAATACGTCCCACTGCCGCTGTCTACTTCTCAGTGACATTTCTCCTTGCTTGAATATGTATAACTAAGCAGGAGGAGAAAGTTTTTACTAATGCTATTTGTCAACCTGAATGCATTATTGATTATTATTTGCTAGTATTCATCCAATGAGTAGCATTCTTAAGTTAAGATACTACTTTCCAGGCTTGCATTTTCACCTGCTAGCTCTCTCACTCTGATACGGTACTATGCATCTCCTAGGGGGATACACTATATCTTTTCTTTGAAACAAAAACAACAACCTCAATGCAAGGTGATATTGGAGTTGCAAGAAGCTTCGACCAAGGTGCAACGTGGGAATTTCTTGGCATTGCTCTAGATGAGGCATGGCATCTGTCATATCCTTTTGTGTTCAAGTATGAGAATGAGGTAGATTCTTTAACTTCATATCTATTACTTGACAACAATAACCATTTATGATGACAAAACAATAACTCTCTCTCTCTCAGATTTATATGATGCCAGAGGGAAACAAAAAGAAGGAGCTGCGCCTTTATCGTGCTACTAAGTTTCCCCTTGAATGGACATTGGAGAAGGTTCTTGTCAATAAGCCACTTATTGATGCCTCATTAGTCCAATTTGAGGGATACTGGTGGCTATTTGCCTCTGATTTTACACGGTATGGCGTTGAGAAGAATGCAGAGCTTGAGATTTGGTACAGTAACTCTCCTCTTGGTCCTTGGACTGAGCACAAGCAAAATCCTATCTACAAATCGGACAAAAGTTTGGGAGCTCGAAATGGCGGGAGGCTCTTCGTTTTTGAAGGGTCATTATATCGCCCTGGTCAGGATTGCAGTGGTACTTATGGTCGGAGGGTTAAGTTGTACAAAGTTGAAAAGCTAAGCAAGGAAGAATACAAAGAGGTCCCTGTAAATCTTGGGATAGAGGAGCCAAAGAAAGGGAGAAATGCATGGAATGGCATGAGGTACCATCACATGGATGCACAACAACTTGCATCTGGTGGATGGATTGCTGTAATGGATGGTGATCGAGTCCCTTCAGGCGATTCAACCAGACGTTCTCTCATTGGTTACATAGCTTTCCTGTTGGCCAGTGCCCTTGTCATTTTTGTGGGTTTTATGAAAGGTGCGATCAGTTGCTACATTCCTCCCAGTTCATGGGTTCCTCTTACAAGGAGAACAGAATTATCCCGTGTCTTCTCTGTGCACCGCTTCAACCAGAAAGTCCGCAGATATTCTACCAATATTAGCAGATATATCTCTGCTACTAAAACTAAGCTCAGTGAAAAGACTTGGTCCAACATGCTTTTCTTCTGTGTAGTTGCTCTATTTGGTATTGTGAATGTCTGCATTGCTGTGCATTTCTTATGTGGTGGCAATGGTGCTGAAGAGGCATACACATATCAAGGGCAACACTCTCAATTCACCATGGTCACAATGACATATGAAGCTCGTCTCTGGAATTTGAAAGTATTCATTGAACACTACTCCAGATGTGAATCAGTTAGGGAGATAGTTGTTGTCTGGAACAAAGGTAACTATCCAAGTAGTGACGCATTTGACTCTACTGTGCCTGTGAGGATACGAGTTGAGGAGATCAATTCTCTTAACAACAGATTTAGGGTTGATCCTCTGATAAAGACCCGAGCTGTTTTTGAACTGGATGATGATATCATGATGACTTGCACTGACTTAGAGAAAGGATTTAGGGTCTGGAGAGAACACCCTGAGCGGATGGTGGGCTTTTACCCCCGGATGATAGATGGCAACCCTATGCAATACAGGAACGAGAGATATGCTAGGGGTAAGAATGGCTACAATCTGATACTCACAGGTGCTGCCTTCATGGACAGTGAGTTTGCTTTCAAGACTTACTGGAGCGAGAAAGCTCGTGAAGGGAGGGACTATGTGCACAAGAATTTCAACTGTGAGGACTTGCTCATGAATTTTCTGTATGCGAATGCAAGCTCCACAAGGACCGTGGAGTATGTCCACCCCGCATGGGCTATCGATACATCCAAGCTTTCTTCTGTTGCTATTAGCCGGAACACTCAGAAGCACTATGATATTAGAACAAATTGCTTGGCAAAGTTTTCCTCCATATATGGTCCCCTCCCTCAGAAGTGGGAGTTCGACATGCGTGAAGATCATTGGGACAAATAGGATGGCATTGGTGGTACAACGGACAAGCTCATGCTGGTGAAACCTTTTTTTTATTAATCCCCTGGAAAGTTTTGTAGCTTGGGGTGAACGGTGAAGTTATAGGTCCTTTGGGCAGAAGTGCCCCTGGTTTGTGATGTGTACCTATTTGATTCCGGCTAGAAGCTTAGACCTGATCAGGATAGACCATTGTTCAAAAGTTTTTGAAGTTAATGCTGAAATAGACCTGAAGTTAATGTTGAAATAGACCAAAGGCAGTCAAGTGTATGTGAATTGTGAAAGGCAAAGAGGGAATTTGGAAACTGCATAGTGGGTGGGAAGTTCAGATTGTTCGGTTCCCTTATCTCTGTAATTTGTGTACATGTCTTCCTTCAAGATTGGGCTAGCAATTTTTTTACAGCTCGTAGTGTTTATTATTTCAGTCTAATGAGGACTTTCTGAATCTTTGGTTTCTGAGATGAGCACGACTTCAGCTGCTGCGACCGTGTCAATGTTTTTGCCATTTCAATTCTGGTAATCCTCGCTCGCCGTGTTCGACTTTGACCAGTTCACCTCATCTCTGGTTTCCACTTGCAACCGCTTGTGATGACAATTCTCCGCTGACAGGCGCCGCCCCATCACGGGCGCTTGCACATTTCTCCACGGGCAATGAGCTCGATCGCTGGATCAAGCAAATTATCGGACGAAGTACAGAACAGCAACATAACCGCCTTAAAACTTGCAACATAGATACTTCAAAGGACAAGAGGAAGATGAACACGCATGAACGGAAGAACTAGCCACCGTGATAAGTTTTGTTACTTGGTACATCAATCTCTCTTCAAACACAACTAATTTACCCTAGCTTTTGACCACAGGTTTGAGTTACAACAGGGAGTCAAATAATCTAAGTGATGACGCAACCACATCGTAGCTGCACATTAAGCATTCAAGCTTATTTCTTCTTCCCACCGGCCTTTGTTTTCTTGTTCGCAGCTGCCTTGCTTGTTTTATCCGAAGTCTCCTGCATTTTTGTGGTGAAACGATTCATTAGCTAAAAACCAAGGAAGAACCATCCTATATTGCAGTTATGAGTAACATATGATTTTGCATGAAAACATGCTGCCATGAGTCATGACGTCAGGCTTGCAAGATACAGCTCAATTGACTAATTGCTACCTGGCCTGCATAAATTGACATGCCCCATCCAGAATTGATGACTACGGAGAAGGCTAAGAATCACAGATAAGCATGAAAGATGGGGTGGCATTTTTTCGAAGTACCTTCCGTTTCAGCGGTGCTGATGTGGTGGCAACTGGCTTGAAAAAGGACTCGAGTCTGGTCACATGAAATCAAGAATCAATAGTTTTAGGACAGTAAGATTAATTTAAACAGGCAAATAAACTCGCATGCACTTTGTAGTTTGTACAAGATGCCAAGAGATGCTCACCTTCCTTGCGATGATTTATTCTTGGCAGATTTGATCTTCTCTATGGCCTGCACAAAAGAACATGAGAATCACAGATGAGAAGAAATGATTGGAGAACTAAACAGTGACAACCAAAAGAAAGGTACATACCTTTGTCACCCGATCTTCATTGAAGCCATTATCTTTTACCAGGAAACTAATGAGACCCTGGAAAGAGGCCAAGAACAATGAGTTACATTCAGGATGTACTAAATAGAGTTTGAAGGTAAGCAAGCAAGGTCAATGCGTGTACCTCCTCATCAGGTGGAGTCCATTTCAGCTCAGGAACATCCAATGTAACATTAGGCTCCTTGAACAAGCGTCGAGCTTCTTGGTAAGGCCAGTCCTCAGGAATTTGATATCTGTAGCACACATGTACAAAATTAGGCAGAATCAAACAGCAAACAGTTTCCTTTCATTTCACCACTAAAACATCCAACACAAGGAATGCCAATAAAAAAAAGAGAAGAACACATCATTGCTTGATAATGTAAAGTATAGGGCCATGATGGAAAATAGACTGCTCCTATGACTATTAGGTGAACAGACAAAACTCAGACTATTTTAAATGGACTAACCTGTCTTTATTAAGATTCTCCAAAATGCTTTCTATGGACCCATGTTGACGAATAAGTTTCAGAGCTGTTTGCCCCCCGATACCTAACGAACAAGCAAAGAGTTAGAAAAATAGAGGCACGAGGTAAAGCATTTTAGAAACGCAGACAATTGTGGAGTATAATATGATCATAGTTTTAAAGGCGGTTAGGCGTCCAGGCGAGTGCTTGGTACGCCTGGACGCCTAGGCCACAAGGCGCCACTGTTTCCCAAGGCGAGCTGGGTACGCCTGGACGCCTAGGCGTCGCCTAGGCGACGCCTTGAAAACTATGAATATGATATAGAATTGATTAGGATACCTTTGATGCTATCACAATAGTCACATCCACACAGGATGCACAAATCGATGAACTGGTCCATGGTGAGCTCAAGCTCCTCCAAAACCTGCGACAAAAGTGATGACATATATGCAACATCAAGGTAATTACTGAGCACATAACAAAAATGCACACCTTGGCAACGTCAAATTCCATCACAGGTATTTTCTTGGAACTTGGATCCATTAAATGACGAAGGAACCTTGGAGCCCCAAAAGTAAGGGAATCCATATCTTCTGAAGCAACAGCGAACACCTACAAAATAGATAGCATATAAGGAAAAAATGGAATGAATGACTGGAAACAAGAAGGTGAAGGTCTTCGTTAAGAGTACCTTATCGTTTTTGCAAAGGGCTGCACATTCTGCTTCTGCTTCAGAAGGTGCCTATTTGTCCAACAAGACAAATCCATGAATTAGCACTGACACAAGACAAGATAAATCATAGCCTTTATGCTAGCAGGAAAAAAAAAGATCCTAAAGAACAATCTGACTCGTCGCATTATTGGTAGCATAATAACATGGTAAACTGAATTCACCTCTACAACAGGAACCCCCATAAGTCTTAGTAGTCGTTTACAGTCATCGTTATGTTGCCTTGTGACCTGTTCATAAAAGGGGAAACAAGATGAAGCCGTAGCTTACTCAGAACAATAAATCTTGCATCTTACATATATTTTTTGACATTTATGCCATGCATGAAACTAATGGGGCTTCAGAAACATTCTAAATCACCTCAATTTTTGCTGTTGTGGTACTCATGAAATTTTCAAGTAAACCATAAGCTATTGACTGGAAAATGAAGAAATTACCTTTACAGTCCTCTTGCTCAATTTTTCAATCGCATCTTTATCTCCATCCTGAAACATCAGGGACCATTTTCCTTTAGGATTCAGAAATAGAAGAATTGACATAATTATGATACCAAAGAGTGAGCAAACTTGGAGCAAGACAATTACCTCTACTGCCTCTTTCAGATCTTCGGTTGCATCTTCTCTTTTTGAGTATCTGAAAATAATAGTACACTCTAGCAATGAGAGAAGACTTTGAAGTACAGATATTATATAAGTGTGTCAAATAACATAGGAATAATGAAAGAAATATTCAAATATATCATGCCTTTTAGCAAGTTCTTGTTTCTTCATATCAGGAGGATTGCCATCAAAAACATAACTGCACAAACAATGAAGCAAACCATTTAGAAGGCAATATATTTGTCTACACGTATTTATATCTTACAGTGGCAATAAATGAAAGGAAGTCATGTTTACACTGGCTTGATTCCCGCTTCCAGTAACCTTATTGTCCGGTTGAACATTCCTTGCAAATGACTGCCAAACAAACAATAATTAGAAAAAAAAATACCAGCACTAGGAATATAGTGAATGCAGCTTCAGATATTAAACTTGCTGGAAAGGATATATTTATCTGTACCTAGTGACTTCACCAGCTTCATTTGTGAGAGTTTCCACACCTGTCCTTCCAACTACAATCTGTTCAAGAAAGTATAAGAAACACATTCCAACTCTTTCATGGCAGTAGGTAACTAGCACAGTAGTAGCATCTCAAGACGCACAGAATACATGCAACTAATACAATTTGCTTTCATCTTTTATTTTACTTGAACAAACCAAGCGAGCCAATCTTGAAGGTCAACCCAGTTGAACTAAAATCAATGCAAGTGGCCTGGAGGGTGAAGGATGACATTGACCATAAGAGGGCATTCGGATTTGTATCCTAATTAAATTCTAGTTTTCATGTTTGTGCGGCCCATGGTGCGGTGGTGCCAATAGGTTGCTCCTAGAGTGCCTTGAGTGTTCAGGCCTTTTTTTTTTGAGGCTGCATCCTCTATCGGTATAATGTAAAAGTTCTTTCCCGTCTTAATTGAAAGGCAAAGCTCCTACCATTTACATAAAAAAAGCAATGCAAGTGATCTGCTTTGATTTGATAACTCTGCCAGTTGATTCGGACACTAAGCAAAAGAACGAGGATGTAGATTCCTCATCGTAACACCCCCCCCCAAAAAAAAAAAAAACGTTCCAAGGTTTAACAATCTAAACCCTAGATCCGGTTCAGTTTGAAGAGCAACAGTTCGGAGCAACTCCTGTAATGCGCACAAACAGAAAACAACAACATAGGGAAAAAAATGCACAATCCTGGACACAAAACAAGCAATAAAACAGCCAGTTCCATCTTAAGCACAGGACGGCGAGGAAAAGAAATGAGGACTAGTGGTGTTGGAGCGGAACACACCAGGAACTGGTAGATGCTCATGCTGGCGTCGACGGCGATTTTGCGGCCGAAGTAGCTCTCGAACTTCTGCTCCTTCATCGCCTTGGGTGCATTGTCCGCCAGCAGTTTCGTCAAACCCTACACACGCCGAAGGCGCGAACCGAGTCAGAAACCGTCAACCGATTCGCCACCAGACGGCACCAACCCCGAAATCCAAAGAAGGTAGAGGGAGGACGGGATCCCCCCGCACTCACCTTGATGCCCATCTCGTCTGCGGCGGCTGTGGCGGGCGGCGGCGGAGCCGGAGTGGCGCAAGAGACCGCGAACTATTTCTGTTTTTTCTCTTTCCTTACCAACCGGTTTTGTGTTTTCGCGGCGCGGCGGAGACTGCACACATGGGCCGTAACGGGCCGTATGGGCCATCTCGGCCCAACTATTCAACACAACGAACTAACGCGTCGGCCCATCGCGAAGCCTCACGTCTCCGACTCCGCCAGCACCGGGCCACCGGCGGCGAGGTCGCGCGAGCGCGGGCAGGCGTGAGACTGGGAGGGGACAGGGGAGGAGGAGGTGAAGGCGATGTCGAGCCGGTTCTGGAGGTGGTACGCGGACCGGCAGTTCCACAAGTGGGAGAAGACGGTGCTGTGGGACATGGTGGAGCCCTACCGCCCGCCGCGCTCCTTCGCGCCACTCGTCGGCACATACGTCGCCGCCTTCTACACCGGCGTCGTCGGGGCCGCCGTCACCGAGCAGCTCTACAAGGTCAGACAACCTCAGCGCCTGGGATTTCCATTCCCACCTTGCCGTTGTTCCTGCCCCGCCGGCCACAGGCACTGCAGCGCCCATCAGGTGCTCGTTGGAATGCTTGCCCGAGAAACTGCGTCAGCCGCGCGGATCTCTGGCCAGCTCGAGTGGCGTGGTGACTCGCACATAGGGACCCTGTGTGATAGTTGAAATTTTCCAGCTCCTTCGCATGATTTCGCGGCATTCGGTGCCCGAATTCGTCTGCTCATTGCATCTGCAGATCTTCTGTCGTGATTGCACTGAAAAGCATCAAATTTGTTCGAGAAATCGGGATGCTGCATTGAGCTCACTATGCAAGCTAAACTGGCTCCCCTTTTTTTTTTCCAAATCGCAGGAGAAGTACTGGGAGGATCACCCCGGCGAGGCGGTGCCGATCATGCCGCCCAAGTTCTACTGGGGGCCATGGAGGGTGATGAACGGAGAAGTTCCCCGCTTCATCCAGCCGCCCGACGAGGCCAAGCCGGCGTAGGAACTTCAAGCAAGCATCAAGCTACCTTTTCAGAAGATGCTTGTATCTGGTCTCGATAGAAAAAAGCATCGAAAAACTACTGATGAGTGTTACAGTACTGCCTCTCCTGTGATTTCCTCGTTGGGTGATTACTGATTAGACGACGGCATGGTTATGGTTTACTGATTAGACGACGGCATGGTTATGGTGAATAAACTGTCTGCGATTAGTCTAAGCAAACGAAGTTACCTTTTGTTCATATTATTATAGCCGTTTTCTCGTCCTGGCATCCTTTTTTTTTTTTTGATAGGCGTCCTGGCATCCTTTCGGGGATAGCAGGTCTCAAATTTGCTGCCATGTGCTATTGCCCTGTGCCCCTGTGCTGAGCTACGGAAAATCAGACGGGAAAGTGTCGGTCATGTTAAGGTCGAGAACTCAAGGTGGTGACAAAAATAAACTCAGCTCAGCTCGTAGAAGGGCACAGTAAAATTCAGCTGCTTCGACTGCAGCAAGTTATGCTTCAGATAAGAGTATACAAAATGGAAGCCGCTATCAGTACAGCTTACATCACCATCGAACGCTGCACTGCATAAAAAAATTGCAACTCGGTGACAGTTTTGCACCTCGTTTCGAATAAACTCTGTAGACGTATCCGCTAGGGAAAACAAAGTTCGTCACCAAATTACTAGTCTTACAAGTCAGATCATAAACGACGCCTAATTTTCCTCAAAAATCCATTCCACTCATCTGTGGCATACGGCTGGCTATCCTGGCCTTCGTTGCCGGGAGCTCGGAAACAGCAGCCTCCGTGGTTGTCACCAGCAGGGAAACACTGACCAACAGCATCACAGTTTTGTAAACAAGCTTGATCAATTAGTCGTACAAAAGGAACGCAGGCATTTCTCTTGAAATGTACCTTGCAGCATCTTGAAGTGCAGTGCGGATCACCTTCACAGGATCGATGATGCCGGCCTTGATCATGTCAACATACTCCCCTGCAGTTGGCAAAAATGCATGAATTAATTACTGATGTACTGAGGGTTGTTGTGCTGCTTTAGAAATTTGGATATAGCCTTTAGGAGTATCTTGGCAATGGTGATGTGCGCGACAGAATGTGGTATTTGTCGGAGCCACACAATTTCAGAATGTTCATAGTTAAACAGAACAAACCTTTCGCTGCATCATAGCCCAAACTGAGGTCCTCTTGTTCAATTAGCTTCCCTACGACTATAGCTCCATCAATGCCAGCATTTGCAGCTATGGTCATCAAGGGAGCCTGGAGAAATCCATAAATTATTTTAGATTCAGGAGACAGATAACCTAAATGCGTGAAGCTACATAGTTAGCTAGAAGAGACCCACCTTCAAAGAATTCTTGATAATTTGAACTCCAATCTTTTCATCCTCATTTGCTGTGCTAATCTTGTCGAGCTCCTTGGTGGCATAAAGAAGGGCGACTCCACCACCTGTGAAGAGACATGAACCGAAGAACACATACAGCATATGGTCAGTTTGCATAGGTTAAAATGATAAGCAAGTCATGAAATGAAATTAGTAAATGGAATACAGCAACTCCACCAGATCTCTTATAATTTCCTATAAGTTGTTATAGGAGAGTGCCCTAAAACCATTTCAGCATATAGGAGAGCACTACTGCTGCAGATTACCTAAAATTTGTCTCCTATTTCTTTAGGGATAGAGGAGAGGGGGTTCTCTCCTTTCTTTAGGGGAGAGGGGGCTGGTTTTAGGAGATTTAAAAATTATAGGTATAGGAGATGAGATAGATCTGCTGCAGCACCTCTATCTCCTAAAATACTAGTTTTTTAGATATAGGAGATCTGGTGGAGATGCTCCTTCGAGAAAGTTTTGCAACCTGACACGATGCCCTCCTCCACAGCAGCCCTCGCAGCATTTAGAGCATCTGTTACCCTATCTTTTTTCTCACCAACTTCAGCTTCACTAGCTCCACCAATCTACAATTTACATGGACATACTGAAGAAGACTGGAAAAGAAACTTCACACAAACATCACTTTCTAAAATTTTAACAAACCTTGAGGACAGCAACACCTCCAGATAACTTTGATAAACGCTCTTGGGCCTTTTCTTTGTCAAATACAGCAGTGCTTGTGTCAATTGATTCTCTAAGCTGTCAAGGTCATCAGAACAATGTAATTCCAATTGAAAGAGCTTCTTTCTAGTATTATCGAGATCTTCTTGACATCTGATGAGTCAAAATGTGACAATTCTCAGTACCTGTTGGCACCTCTCCTCTATCCGCTGTTTATCACCTCCACCATCTAGGATGATAGTATCATCAAGAGATACAGTTACCTGTGAAGAAGGATGTCACTGTATGGATCTCAGGCGCAATAAATTATGAAAGCTGACAAACCTTTTTAGCAGTGCCAAGCATTTGTAATTGAACTTTGCCAAGATCAAGACCTCGTTCCTCGCTAATAACCTTGAAAGCAAAATGATGTGTAGAAGTCAAATTGAGTCATAATCGTAATTCATGTTAAGAAACTCTAGATTAGCTAACCTCTCCTCCAGTCATCACAGCCATGTCATCAAGATTGTGCCTTCTGTTTTCACCAAATCCAGGAGCTTTGACAGCACATACCTACATTTGACGACAGGTAATTAGTTGAAATTTACATGAATAAGCTTCACAACGATAACAGTGAGTTAAGGCATAGCCCCATGACTTGTGAAGGGAAGAAGCACTACATGCGGCTGGTCTTTGATAAAAGAAGAAGAACGAAGACAAGGAAAAGGGCATGCTTTCATGAAAAAGTACAGAAAGTCCAGTAGCTTATATAAACATTTCAGCACAGTATATATCAGGCCCTTAGGAAATTTGTTAATGTCACCTTGAGTCCAGCACGATGCTTGTTAAGTACAAGCATTGAAAGAGCATCTCCTTCAACATCCTCAGCAACAATGAGAAGAGGCTTGCGATTCTACATAGGCCAAATACCACCCATCAGATGCCATAGCACCAAAAGCTGAGACATAAATGGACAAAGTTACCTTGATAGAAATTTCTAATGCTGGAAGGAGAGAATCCATATTTGAGATTTTCTTGTCATGGATAAGAATCAGAGGGTTCTCCATCTCCTGCGGGTATAAAATAAATAGTTGTGAAATTAATAGTAATCTCGGACTATTCACATGGAATCTTCCTGTATGTTGATGACTTGATGTGCATCTCGTCAATGTTTTCATCTGCCCATAAACCCTTTACTAAGCAACAAACTATTCCAGATACCCCACTTTTATGGGCCTACTAAACACATATGGAACATTTGCAAATAGCCAAACATTAGTGATTCTACAGAAGCTCCTGAAGAAACTACAGCCTTTGACTTCCCTAGTAGTGCACACGCATTTCTACCAGCATACATGTCAGTATCACAATCACAAAACTGAAGCAAGAATAGAAACTGAGGGCATGAGAACTCCTATATGCTTTCAATAAAAGCAGAGAACTTCTCGTTTCCAAAACAAAAGAAAAAAAAGAAACAAAGGGCACGTTTATTTCCTTGCCAACTTTACCATAACCACAAAAAAAAGGGGTGGGCAAAAAACAAAGATGGGAAGGGCACCTAAGATTTCCCAAAAAAAATAGTTAGGAAATCATTTGTGCTGAATTAATTGGCTCAACTAAGAAATGCAGACTTACACATTTCTGAGTCTTCTGATCAGTCACAAAGTAAGGAGATATGTATCCTCTGGACAGCTTCATTCCCTGTACCGCTTCAAGCTCATTGTCCAATGTTTTGCCATCCTGCCAATTTCCAAATGGTAAGTTGCAGTATAGTAAAATGCCTATACAGAAAGAGCCTAACAGCAAAAAGAAACACTCGACACTCACAACAATAGTAATGACTCCGTCCTTTCCAACTTTTTCCATAGCTTTTGATATCAGATCTCCAATTTCCTTTTCACCATTTGCAGAAATGGCTGCTACCTGGATTACAAGAGAAAAATGAAACTAGGCATGCTTAGTAGAGTTTTTTCAAGTAAAATGCAAAAAGATGTTACATGAGAGCATACTAGTACAGAATCGCAATGATGATTAGTGGTTGTTTACTACAGCAGATGCTAGTAACAATCATAGCAAAAGGTACACAATGAACTTCAATAAATGGCTCATGATGGAGTTGAAGGGAGCAAATATAGCAAGCTACCTCTATAGACCAAAGTATCTCACCTGGTTGATTTCCTCCGGAGAATTAATCTTCCACGCTTTACTTTTGAGGTGAGCAGTGATAGCATTTATGGCCTTGTTTATACCATTCCGCAAGTCCATAACGTTGACACCGGCTGCCACGGCCTTGCATCCTTCCGTAAGAATTGCCTGTGTAAGTACAGTTGCACAAGTGGTACCTATTTCCAGAACAAATCAGAAAAAAGTGAGTGGAACTATACTCCATTGAGACAAGTAAAATTGGTTTCTAAAGCTGTTGGATGTATTGCAAGACGGCCAATAGAAATTTTGGCAGGGCCCTCAAATTTTATGTTCCGTGAAATGTGTATTGGCGAAATATATCAGAAACTAACTGTGTTTTCAGTATCTAGACTACCTATCTGCTCCGTCAAAAGAAAATCTATATTCAATTAAGATCCATCAGCATCAGAATATATTGAGAAAAAACTCAAAACACAATTTAACATGGGCCTAGACTGGAGGTTGGAAGTGTGTGAAACAGTACTTGTTTGGCATAGTGATTTTAGTGCATAAAACATAATAAGAATATTAAGAAAGAAGGCAAATCTAAGGCCTCAAACTATGGCAATGTAAGTCCACTGTGACTGTGTGAGCCTCTCAGGTACTGAACATAGAATTCTAACTAGCAGAGACAAAATTAATCCAAAGATAAATTCGAATTGATCCATACCATCAGAATTTCCCTGTTCAAACAGCACAAACAAGATGGAGAAGATAAAAGCATCATGATGTTGACATCAAAGTCAGATGAGAAATAAGAGACTAAGATGGATGTTGTATTGCTGTATAGCAGCTGGCAGGTAGTTCAGATGCTGATTCACGAAAAAGCACAGTAATTTCCCGAAGCCCTGGTGCCTACCATCCCCTGCAGCCTTGTTCGTAGCATCAGCAACTTGCTTCACCAGATTCGCCCCAACATTCTTCGCGCTATCCTCGAACTCCACGCTCTTGGCAACAGTGACCCCATCCTTCGTGACCTTGGGACCTTTACGGAACCCCTCGATGATCACAGTGCGCCCCTGCAACACAAGCAATCAGCCCACTCAATCGAATGCGAAAGCCCAGCGGTTCCACTAGATCCACGCCGGTCGCCGCTGCATCATGCCCCGCCCCCGACCAACGCAAAGCTTCCCAGAGGCAAAGCAGGGAGCGCGAACCTTGGGGCCCATGGTGACCTTGACGGCGTCGGCGAGGTCGTTGACGCCCTGCAGCATGGTGGCGCGGGCGCCAACGCCGAAGGACACCTCCTTCGCCGTGGCCGCATACCCCCGCGCCAACAGACGCGGCGGCTCCCCGCCCGAGCCCCGCGCGAGCTGCCTCCGCAGCGCTGAGGAGGACCTCGAGATGGCCGCCGCCGCCCGGTACATGGTCGCGCGAGTGTGCCTGGCTGCCTGCGGCTGCTCGTGTGCGCACTCAAATTGCTTTTGCCGCCGGGTCGGGAGGAGGGTTTTAGATGAACAGGGGTTTGGGGTCCCGGAAGCTTCGTCTTCGGCTCCACCGCGAGATCCACGCTTCGGGCACCGCTTGGTTCCAGAGATTTCATTTTGGGTCTCGCTTCATGTTCGTTTCAAAATTTGATTTGACACTACGCGAATTCTTTCAGTTTAGGACTTTGTCTCTATTTTCTTCAACCTTTTGTTTCCTTTTTTATGATCCATCCAAGTAAAATGGGTATGAGTTATTCATACCTCTTCTACATGTATTCAGTTTTATACAAATGAAATATTCTAACTCATCTTATCTTACATGATGACATGGACGTGGAGAGGCTTGTGATGTTATCGGTCGAAAGGCTCATACAGGAGCCTCCAATCCCACAAACTAGGAGCTTGCAATTTGCTAGTAGTATCTACCATCGTGACTTTTGCATGACTTATATACAATAAATTCCACTCTCTTCCTCTCAAATTATAAGACGTTTCAATTTTTTATATATATTGTTTACTACGTGAAAAATGGTTCGTAGCAACGGAACAAAATTTTTTTAGGAACGGCTGGTGATAGAGCCGCCACTACAGTAGCGTGCTCAGGAGCCCAGACACCAGCCCCTTTACAAATGGAACAGCAGGAACGGCTGGTGATACGAGCCGCCCCTACAAATAGGTCTGATTTATAGGGGCGGCTCACTCATCAGCCGCCCCCGATGTTTCTATTTGTAGGGACGGCTCAATCACCAACCGTCCCTACAAATAACTCTGGCTATATATTATATGCACAGTCGAAAAATATCTTCTCTTCTCTTTCCCTCCCCTCTCTCTCTCTCCTCTACGCTCTCTCCCCCTCCCGACGCGAGCAGCGCCCAGGGCGACGGCGGCTGGCGCGAGCGGGCCAGCAGACGTCGCAGCCGCCCTCCTCTTCCTCCACGCCTCTCTCCCCTCACGCCCCCTCCCCCCTTGCGCTGCAAGGGCGCGGCGACGGCGGCCCCAGCCAAGTCGCCGGTGCAGCGGATGGTGGGTGGCCGCCCCTGGCTGCGGGGGCCCCAACTGCTGCCGTCCCCGGGCACGGCGCCTACCGGTGGTCGTCGGCTCGGTTGCCCCCGATACGACATCTCGTCTGCTCCATGAAACCCTAGGTGCCTGTCTCTTCCTCTGCCTCTCCCTCTGTCTCGATCTCTCTCTCTGGATGTGCCTGTCTCTTTGTCTGCTCCATGAAGCTCCTCAAGGAGGCGAAGAAGTTGTGGTTGGCCTCCTCCTCTTCTCCGTCGGCTCAGACTCAGATATCTGCTTGCGGCGATGGCGTCGTTCTCGGAGGCTCCCCCCGGGAACCCCAAGGCGGGCGAGAAGATCTTCAAGACCAAGTGCGCGCAGTGCCACACGGTCGAGAAGGGCGCTGGCCACAAGCAAGGTGAGCGACCCCCCCCCCTCTCTGCCGCGGCCTTAGCGGATCCCGGATCAGATCTGAGCTCAGGACCGTGCATTGTATTACTCATATATTTCCAATAAACTTATATACCTCTTCACTGTTTGGTTTTGCAGATGTACTTTGATAAAATAGCTGAGCTTACTATGAGTAGATCTGATACATCCCTTTTTAAAGAAGTTTTAGTGAGCTTGGCAAAAGATTCTGGTCTTCATCCTTTGGTTTCTTACTTTTCCTACTTCATTGCAGACGAGGTTTTACAGTTGCTTCTTGCTTTTGGTGTTATTTTTTTGAGATGGCATTAAGTGATCTTCCTGTTTTATTTGCTCTAATGAGAGTAGTCCAAAGTCTTCTCCGTAATCCACATATTCATATTGAACCTTATGTAAGTGGTAAACCATAAAGTTTTGATAGTTCATGTGTGTGACTTATTTTTTTAGTCATTTTGTATATTCTTCTCATCATATTAGTCCTAAATTAGCAATGATTATCTTGATTTGTAGTTGCACCGGCTGATGCCATCAATGATCACTTGCATTGTTGCAAAAAGGCTAGGGCATAGGCTCTCAGATAACCACTGGGAACTTAGAGACTTCTCTGCCAATTTAGTTTCCTCGGTATGTCAGAGGTGAGTGATATGTGAAGGGTGTCAGTAGGTCCTTTATATAATTATCAAAATTCAATTCAGTTACATTTATGATTTCAACTCCTTGATTCCCATATCTCTATATAGGAATCCGGCTTCCAAAAGATGGGCAGCCGATCGGGCCACGTCGCCCGACCACCCGTCAACCGTTCGATCGGGCGGGCTCGCCATGTGGACCGTCAGATTTTGGATCGGATCGGGTCTCCGCCTGTTCCATCGTGCTCCCGCATCGGGAATCTTCTCGGCGCGTCGGCCCGTAGGCTCCCGTGGCGTCGATGAGCAGAGCTGCAGCGCGGGCCAACGGCGCGGGCATGGTCCACCGGCGAGGCGGCCGAGCTCACCGGCGAGACGGCGCAGGCGAGCCGAACGCGACCTTGCCCGCCCGGCGCTCCCGTCCTCGCGCCGCCGCACTGGATGTAGGGCCACCACCCTCCTGCACGGCCTGCACCGCCGCCGGTACTTCCGTCCGCCTGCCTTACCCTCCTCTTCCCCTGCTGTCCCCGTGCGGCAGCTCTTCCGTGCCCGTATTGTGGCATCCTGCGCCCGCCGCTCGTAGCCATCGAGTGGAGGTGGATCGGAGCCCGCCGCTCCGCTTCCTCATAGCCGTGACCACGGAGACAGAGGCGAGCTCAATGTTGAGCCCAAATGCCCAATAGCCATGGTGGAGTAGAGCAGGAGGCACGAGGCCAATAGCGCTCGCGCGTAGATACACAATAGCCGTCTTCTTTCCGATGGCATCGGCAAATGCGTCCGCATGATCCCCACCGAGACCATAGTATATTCGACCAGCGGCGCAGCAGGTGGCCGTGGCCTCGCAGGATTGGTGGCCGCCGAGCAATGCGACGTTCAGCAATGTTGCGCCGGTGCAAGGTGGAAGATGAGATGGAGCTGCTGGCGCTGGCTACGGTTCTCTGTTCTCTCACCAGGCCGGCCTAGGTCCACCTTTGATTCTGCCGCCCGACCAGGCATATTGATGTCCCCGTTGCATCTAATTAATTGTTGGCCTCAATCAAATTTGTTTCTGAATTCCGAAGAGAGAATCAAGCAAACAAGGAAATATGTTTATTGCGCTTATACCAGTATGAATTTCTCAGATTTTTCCTTTACATATCTGCCCATCTCTGTTTTCTCAGCAACTTGTTTGGTTCATCTGCAAAATCCGTTGCTGAAGGAGCTCTGAAATCGATAGTGCCACTGCCCCATCCCTGCTCAAGCTACACTTACAATACAATGCTGTGTGCTATTGTTTATACTTAAATAATATCAATTATTTGCTCAGTTTCAATGACTGCCCCTAACATTGTTCTTATTTCTAATCATCTTACTACATGTTGTGTTGTGAAAGTAAATATTTCTCTCACACATAAACTGCTAAGTTAAACACACGGGCCTAGCAACTCTGACACAGTTATGGGTTGATGCATCATGCATGTACCTTCACTTGATAGCTCAAGAACTCGAGAAGAATCAGATGATATTTTTCATACTAATGACAGGCTCGCTATCTATACTAAAACCACCACAACAACTATATTCACAATGTTTGTAGCCCTATTGCTAGCCATGTTCACAACGTTTCTAGCTCAAAAATCTATTCCCCTTCTGTTGCCTTGCCTGTATATACTGTAACCTACTACATTCACAATGTTCCAAGCCCTGTTGCTATATGAATGGGATTAAGATATAAGGCGAAATGCAAGGGAATGTATGAATTACATTGGCTTTGACTACTCCATGGATGTCTGTTGGCTGATTGGCCATGAAATGAATTACATGGATCTTTTTGTACAGTTAATTAACAAGTCATTAACATGGTTATTTTTCTTAAGAATGTTGCTAACATACAAAGGTAGCTATGCTGCAATTGACCTCCAAGTTTCTCTTTTTATTATCTCTGGTTCTGTGATGATCTTCTATGTCAGATGTACTTCTGTAGTCATCTTTTAAATGCATTAGTCATTACAGAATATGTAAAAACCCAGCCACTTTACAAATTTTCATGATATTGGTTTACAACATAGCTTTTGGCCCTCTTACAAAACAGTACTAATCTCTGTAAACTCAACCATCTAGCATATATATATGCAGTTCTTTACATGTGCACTAACTTACAAGCTGACATCAAAGTTGCTCTAGGACCTTTTAATACCAGGATGAAATAATTGGAGAAAGCAATCTAGGCAGCTAACCCTGTCCTCTATTCAAGCTTTAAGTACAATATAGTCTCACAATTGCGGAGCAAGAGATGAGAGTGCATATTTTGCTTCACAGTAAAAATTTCTTTTCGGCATTCTCGGTGATCCCTGGCTGGCCAGTGGAGCCGTGGACAGGCTCTTGGCGGAGTCGTCGCAGCGCGCCCGTGGCCTTCAGCGCCAGCGCCCAGCGGGCCTGGGCCACGTCGCCGCCCAGCGCTGGGGCGTGTGTCCGGCCCGACATGGCCGGCACCTGGGCCATCGCACCACCCGGCAGGGTCCAGGCCTTCCTCATGCGAGATGGAGAGCGCCATTAGGTCTGGGCCAATGCCACCAACCAGGAGATCGACCACGCGCTCGTAGGTGAAGCCCTGCCCTGGATCATTGTTTTCACCTTCATTCACACGCCCTGATGAGTCTTTTTGTGCACTAGGGCCTGGAAGAACGCGTCATGACCAAATTGTTCGACAGCATGTTTGGGACCTCCACTGAGGATGCCGTTACCGCCATGGAGATCTTGGAGAAGATTGTACTCTTGCAACAATTTGTTAAGCCCCATCACTTGGATATACCCAAGGTCCTGCAAAAGGAGGCATCATGGCTAGTAATTCATTCTGAGCTTCAAACATTTACAACGCAATTTCAGTTGTCATAAGTTGTAAGGATGGGAGTAATCAATGTATGCCACATCAATATATGTTTGATTGAAATGAAGCTCCATACTTTGATACATTTGCTAGCTTCAATATTGAAAGAAAAGGTGTCAACTATCAAGTACTCAGCTCTATTTTTTCTGTTATTATCAATTATGTTGTCATTATACTGCATATCCAAGAGTTGCTGGTTTTAATCATGTAATATCCAATTTTTTAAATTATCCAAAATTCCCATAAAAGAAATCATTCCAGTGATACATCCAAAGCTCATTGTAACTATGACCATTTTTTTTCTGCACATGACACTCTAGCTTGCAGTGAAAGAGTTGCAGACGATTAATACCTTCAAAGCACAACACGAGACGCCTCTATACATCATGAGCTGTTGTCAAGTAATCAATAACTTGCTTCTCAGCATATCAATGTCAAACGATCGAACATTATCTGGGGCTGTTAAATTCCTTCCTATTCTTATCTATATTACTATCAAGGCAAGGGCAATCCTCAGCTGCACTCAAATCTGAAGAATTATCTGACAAACCTCATTTCACCAAAGATGTTTATAATAGATGTCAACTCTCGCTCACTATCGATGGAGTAATCGAGTTTCAAAAACATAAGAAATCGGCAAGACTAGCTACTCAAATATCTGTTGCTAGCCCAAGTACCTCACACCATCATATGCTTCTCAACTCCTACTTTTTGTGGAATTACATGTACTTTATTAATTTGCAGAGATGCTTTCCATCAGTCTTAAAAAGGTTATCATCATGTAAAGTACGTAACAGGCTAAGAGCCCAAGCAGTGAGTTCATGTCCATTCAAAACAAATCAAAACAGAGAAAAATGAGTCATATCATTGAAAAAAACGTGTTTTACTTGACCAATTTAAATGCAGTCATATTTGGCTTTGCTCAAAGCTTTGAATTTAAACTCAAACAGCATATAATATTTGTTTTATATACTATTTCAGACATTCTCTTCCATTGCAACATCTTTGACTTTGAACTATAAGGCAGGCAAAAAAAAAATGCAAATCTACTATACCTCCATCTTTGTTCTGCTATATTTTGTGCTGATTGCTAAAGCTCTCCACATAACTTTCTCAACTCATCGACTTCTCGTAATTTGGATTTTAGCTGTGCTACTATCTCTCTCCTTCTGTAAATGATTTGGCTAATCTGTGTAGTTAATTTTTTTACTTTGTTTTAAAAGCTTCAGATCTTAATACAGTGCTAGAGTGTGAATCTTAGACAACACTGCCACTGCTGTAGTTTTGATTGCGGTGAATGTGTGGATTGTCATCTCGAAAACAATCTCTATCTTCCTTTGAAATTATGACTCAAAGGTAATGATTCTACACCTTGTATTTTTATTTCAGATTTAAATAAATATCAACTTCAGACTCCAGAGAAAAAGGACTATGTGAAAGGTATACACTAAAACATTTGCTCACGCTTATATGCTCTTTGATATATGTGACTGATTATACCTAATACTAATCAATTCTTAATTTCACAATGATGGGTGTGTCGTGCATAGTTCTTAATTGAAAAAAAGAGACTCCAGCTATTATCCTCTGCAATGGCAACGATCAACATCCGCTCCACTAATCTGTATAATTATATTATACTACTGCTATTTATTCTCCACAGAAGCTAAGTAATACTAATTGCAATATAATTATTAGCTTCGTGATGCAAGCACCACACGGGACCGCGCGGCAAGGCCGCGCTGCTTTCTAGTTATGATCTTAAAGAACAGTTCATATGAAATGTGCCCATGAAAGTGCTTTTATCTTAGTTATGCTAATATGCTATCTTTTCAACAGGTTTAAGATGAAGGTTAAGTCAATAATAGTTTGACCACTATTTCATACTCTTTCTTCCATATATATAAGATTTTACTATTTCGTGGGAGGAAGGTGTTCCAGTACGTGGTCATGGGGCTCTACACTCCGCTGGTGAGACTCGAGAGCTCCTGCTTGGCTCCTTCGATGCCATTCTGAGTTGAGTGAGCGACTGAGCGCCTTGTGTTTTGCTTGTCTGGGACCTTTTTGGATCCCCATCTAGCTGCTGGGTGATGGGCCCAGCAGTGGTTGCTGATCTAGGGAAGGCGCCGAATTAAGTGTGGCCTGGTAATCATGAAATGTGTTGCTTAGCAGTCTCGCGTATTTGTTTGGTAGGATTTCTGTACGTTTTGTTTGCTTGTTTAAGGGTGGTACATCTTAAATCGTTTGGCTGGCCTGGGCAATTCTTGTTGTGCCATCATGTGGCGTGCCTAACCCTAGAAGCAATGTCTGTTTCGTTTAGTTCAACAGCTTTGCTTCAGCCTCAATGGTTGGTTGAATTCTGGCTTGTGTCACAAGGTTAAGGACAACAGTGCATGCTTATCTGTTGTTTATCTAACACCATTGGGGAAATGTAGTTGCA